GCGGGAGGGGCGGGGCGGGCGGCACCTGGGGGCGGGGTCCGCTTCCCCCTCCCCCAACAATCCAACATCCTCCCTTGCACAGGTGAGGAAACTGAGGCACAGCCTGTCCCAAGTCCAGCCAGCACCCCGAGAGGCGGCCTGAGAGGCGGACCCGGCGGTGGGAAGGAGGTGGTGCCAGACAGATCCTGGAGGGGAAGGGACTTGTGAGGGCCTGGCGGTTTCAGGAGAGGGGGGCTCCGACTTCCTGGGGAACAAAAAGCCCCAGGCAGGGGCAGTCATGGCTTTGTGTGCATAGGGTCAGCCCTGTGGGAAGCTCTGCTCCCCGCAAGCCTGCACCCCCTCCACCAGGCTGAGGCCTCACTGGAGTGGGACAGGCACGGGCTGGAGTGGGACAGGCGTGGACCCGATGGGCCCCCAGGTGTCCAAGTGCAGAAGGGGAGCCCCAGGTGGGGGTCCCAGCCCAGGTGGTGTCAGGTGCAGGGGCCGTCCCCAGCCTAAGATCCCCAGACAGCAGCTGACGCTGGTCGACATGGACCAAAGCCTGCAGCAGCCCACCGTGGTCTGGCTCCAGCTTCTCCAGGCCTGCGGCCAAGCGTGCTTGCCCTTGGTAGCCACATTCCCCGTGGTGGGCTCAGCTTCAGGCCGAGTGCAGGTTCAGGCCGACACCATGGCTCCCCAGACAGTCCACCCCGGACCCCTCCCTGGGACTTTCACAGCCAGGCCTCCCTCCTTGGGTGGGAACAGTGGTAGTGGCAGGAACGGCAGCTTGGCCGACCACACGGGACACTGCTTGACTGAACATATTGGGGGAGGGCCTCAGGGCCTCCCTGGGGAGAGGCAGGGCAGGGCCAGCAAGGGGCTGGGAGTCCTGCCTGGAGAGAGGGCCCCAGGGCAGGGCGAGTCAGGGACCTGCATGGGCCTAGGGCAGAGGACAGAGGTCAAGGGGCAGTGGCAAGAGGCCGGGGCCTTGGACGTTATCCTGGGAAGACAGGGAACCCTGAGGATCTAAGCTGGCCTGAGTGATGCTGTCACATTTTGTCTCGAAGCCATTCTTACCCCAGTGTGAATGGCATGAAAAGCAAGAAAGCAGCGGCTGGCGCTGGGCTGCAGGTGACTTCTGCTGCCGGGGGTGTCCCCGCTTGCCTGTGTGGCACAGGACAAGGCCCCCCAGGCTGCTGAGAATGTCATGAGGCTCCCAGGTAGGGCTGGGGATGCTGTCCTGTGCCTGAGCTCATGCAGGCGACCCTGTATTACAGAACGATGCCTAGCCAGCAATCACACTGCCCTTCCCTGACCCCGTGGTGCAAGTCACTCAACAGCAAAAGTGCAAAGGCGGCACGCTGGCCACATCGGAGGCACAGCAAGGCCCCTGCCGATGCTGAGCTCCCAGGGATTTATTCTTAAAAACACAGCTCGGGCCAAAATGGGCTCCTCCCACGCTGAGGAAGTCCCACCCAATCCCACAGAACATAGCTCACTCATCTCCAGCAGGCGCCGGGGGGTCTGGGAGCCTGGACTCCATAGCCCTGGAGGTTTCCCTCCTCTCCTCCTGTCACCACCTGCAAACCCCACTTCTCAAGGCCCAGGGTTTCCCAGAGCCCAGGAGACAAGACCAGGGGTTTCTGGGCCTTGCGGCCAGGCAGGAGGGCTAGCAGGATCCTCTGCTCACGGGCCCAGCATTTGCCCAACACTGAGACTGTGACAACTTGGGTTGCTGACAAATGTGTTTACTCACAGGCCAGACCTGCACAGGCTGCAGACGAGAGGAAGCAGTTTGTGGCTCGAGAGTCGGACACCCCCACACCCCCGTTCTGTGGTGTTCTCAGTGAGGCAGCCCCGGGCGAGAGCTGCCCACACCCTTGTTCCCCACAGGAAACTGTTCCAGCCATCGTTCCTCCCAACCTCGCCTCCAGGGCCCTTCCTCGCTGCCCAAGGGGGCCGAGGTGCTGAGCTGAACAGTGACAACACACATGCACGTCGGCAGGAAGGGGCAGCCTGGCCAGAACGTAGCCAGAGCAGACCAACCTGGCCAGGGCAGCCCTGAGGCTCCCAGGGCCCTGTCACACCGGGGATGGCTGTGCTGCCCACTGTAGCCCTGGAGAAGGTGGGAAGACAGAGGGCAGACGATTGCCCGAGGGGGACTGGGTAGGGTGTCAATCTGCTGAGTAACTTCTACGTGACAAGGCAGCACCGGATAGGGTGGGGCAGGGGTGCCAGCCAGGAGCAGAGCCTGCCCCGTGGCCACTCTTCAGTGGGTACGTCCCATGGAGGGGGAGGTGTGGGCTCCCAGGTGCCTGAGGGCCCTGCCGTGGCCTCCTGCTCCAGACCAGTTGGAGCAGCAGCAGGAGGAGGGGCATGGAGGTGGGTGAGTCCTCAGGAGAAGGAACGGGGCTGCCTCTGGGGCTGAAGCAAACCCAACGCCTGGCGGGTTTCGGGGATTCCCTGGCCATTTTCAGAGGCTCTTCCCGGTTCCGACCGACCTCAGGGAGCCTGGCCCCAGCTCACCTGGAAGGATGTGGACACCAGGCCTGGATCTCACCTCGCATGCATCTTTGCTTGCTTCTTGCTTAAACACCATGTATTTCCACTTTGAGGCCAAAAACACCCCAAAAGGTGATAGTGTAATTTTAAAAAGCAAACAGACTAGCAAATCCAGGGAGACACCCACCCTGTCTGGGCAGCTTCTATAAAATGAAACCCAGCGCCTTGAGAAACAAAATGAGGTAAGTCAATCATGCCTGCTTTATATTTAAACTGCAAAGACAGAGAACACAGAGCATTTTGATTTGAAAATTCTGGACCCATTTGCACCAGCTGCTGCTGACCCCACACCCTTCCTTCCTGTTGCAGCCAAGGCTCACTGTGCGGTGACTGCGACCCTGGGTACAGGAGCGGGGGGCCCTCGCGGGACAGGCACTTGGGGAGCAGCCTTCTGGCTCCTCTCTGCAGACAGGCGCTCCAGGCGCTCCGTGTAGAAGCCGTTGAAGTCAAGCCTGTGAGGGAGGACGGTGGAGCTGGGGCACGCACCCCTTCTGTGGGTGCATGCTGGGCAGCCCTGCTCCTACCATGGGGAAGTGCTCAGCTACAGAGACCACAGGAGGCCCTGCAGGGGTGAGGGTGAGACACCTAACTAATGTTTCCACAGAAGGGTCTTCAGTCCTGTGCAGTCCTGGTCAAAGGCACAAACACAGGTTTCTTCTCTCCTGGCCCCAGAAAGTTGGGGCTCCCGTCACCTCAGCAGGGCCTGGCAATGGGGCCTGACGTGTCAGGGGCTTGGAGAACCAAGCAGTAGTTCTCAATGCAGGGTGGCCTCAGAAACCCCTGCTCAGGAAATCAGGACGTTTGTTGGGGGTACAGGGCACAGTGTGGTCCAAAAGCACAAATAGGCACTTTCCCAAGGACAGCCCCCACACAAGGACAGCACCCCCAACTCCCGGTCAGCACCTCTTCCGGGCCAGCAGCTTGGCCACCTTTCCCCTCCCTGCCCCCGAGGGCTGGGCCCCTTTCCCCAGGCTAGGCGTTCAGTGCAGCATGAGGGAAGCTGACCCAGGCCTGACCAGCCCCACAGGACACACACAGCCGCAGGGTGCCAACGGGGCAGCCCAGCTGCACAGAATGTCACACCCCAGGGAGAGCCGGGCTAGCCTGACTTCAGGGAGTGGCACATGACCAGCACTAGCACCAGGACACAGACCTGCCCCACCTTCTGAAGGAGGCTACACCAGGTGGACCAGGGGAGGGTGCAGGGGAGATGGGGCCTGGATGCAGGGGCACGTGCTGAGCTGGGGCAGGCGCTGGGCTGGGGCAAGTGTTGGGGTGGGGGAGGCGCTGGGCCGGCAGGCGCTGGACTAGAGCAGGCTCTGGGCGGGGGCAGGCACTGGGCTGGGCTGGGGGAGGCGCTGGGCCGGCAGGCGCTGGACTAGAGCAGGCTCTGGGCGGGGGCAGGCACTGGGCTGGGCTGGGGGAGGCGCTGGGCCGGCAGGCGCCCACCCACCTGGAGATGACGCTGGCCATGCCGTGCTCACAGTCACTGGTGCTGTAGATGCTTAGCCGAGCCAGGAGGTCCAGCAGGTGGGCTGAGAAGTTCTTGTCAAACTTGTTGATGGTGGCCTCGAAGCCAGACACCAGCTGCGCAGCGTCCGCGTGCTCGGCCAGGTGCTGGAAAGAAAGCCGGGGCACGTGAGCCATGCCCACCCCCACCGCGGGCCTTCCTGGCTCCACGCTGTTCCCAGCAGTGCCGATGTCCTTTCCCTTCCTCTTTTCTTAAATAGAAAACGTAAGTTCCACGATGTTTTCATGGGATTCAAGGTAAAAAGGACGTCAAAAAACGTTCCTGAAAACCTAGCACTCAGAGAAACACTCCAGGCCTCGCGGGATGAGGTGCTCAAGGATCAGACCCCACAAGACTGTACCTCGAGCTCTCCTTTGGGGTCAGATCTACAAGCAAAGCACAAGCTTTCCCAGCAGCTTCTCAGCAAGGAGGTCGGGGCGCCTCTCAGTGTCCCTCACTTCTGGCCCCCACAGGCCCCCAAACCCAACTCCTCTCTGCAGCTCCACTCCAGCGTGTGAACACGGGACTACCCACCCCCTCATGCCACTCCAGAGCTGGTGCTGCAGGGCCATGCCTCCGAGGACATGCGGCCTGTCCGTGCCTGCTGAGAGCCTGATGGTTCTGACTCAGGACCGGCACTCAGCAGGGACAGCGGCTGTGGCCCCTGTCCTCACCAGGGTGCCCTGCACAGTGCTTGCTCTGAAGATCTGTGGGGACGCCCTCAAGTCCGACTGGCTGAGGTGGGAACCAGCGAGCTGAGAAGGTTGTGAGAGGCTCTTGTGCTTGTGCTTAGAAGCAACTTTTAAGTCTTTTCTTCAATCCGAGGGGAGACGGAAAAAAAAGGGGGGGAGGTTTGTTCTCCCTGTGTTAGGATGCTCAGGCCGCTGCCCCAGGCGGGAGGAAGCGTCTCTCTCTGGCCAACCCTGGAGGCCACGCACCTTCCTGGTGAGCTCCTTCCGGGCCCGCTCCTCGGCCCCTGTGGGCAGCCCCGGGACGGTGCCTTGCTCCAGCATCTGCCCGCCCAGCTCGCTGTCCAATTTCATGCTCTGTGTAAATTTCTAGTGGGTGGAGAGTCGCAAGGAAATGCTTCTGTTAGTTACAACCACAACGCTTTGCAGAAAAAACAACTCCTGCAGGTACATCACCCGCCGCATCTCTGTTGTAGCCTGCGGCTGCAGGAACACACAAGCATCCCCGCGGCCGCAGGAACACAC